GTATATTAATGTGCTATTTCTTTTTGAACAATATTTCTTATTTTAAGTGAACTCACTCACGTGGCATAGATATATAATTTTTGGTATTAATACTAAATAAAATGACGTATCAAGTAAGATAATTATTTTGGTATATCGCTTGCCACGTGTTAATGGCCAAAATTATTATTTTGGGATAATTTTATTTTCTCTCATGCATATGCTGACTCAGCATGGAATTTGCTTTGCTGAGGTGTTGTGGCTACGAAGAATGGGCCTATGGGCTTTAAGCCACCTAATAAGACCCAATGATAAGGCCCATGGGCTTTAAGAATAAGAGCCAAGTTTTGGTTGAACCATGCAAATGCGTTTGTGTGTTTTATTTTATGCTCATGGTTGATATGATATTTATGTTGAATAACCATGCCCACAAGTATCGATGAATACAATCAACACTTCTTGCAATAGTTTAATGAACTTGTTAAATCATAAACTCTAACTTATGGTTGTTTGCGTTGTTGTTTTTTGTCATTTGCTCTATCGTATTACTTTCTTTGTTCGTTAAATCCATATACAGATAATGTATGTTTGTTTCGGGGGCATAAAGGATAAGACTAGTAATCTATCTTATTTTTGGCAATTACTACATTTAGATGTCAAGTAATGAAAGATTACGGTAAACTTTCAATATTACTAGTGGTCATTGTAGGGAAAAATAGGGGTAATTCGATTACCATCTAGGAGGTTGTTATTTTTCCATTACTGGGATAATCAGCTGTTCATATCAATTGTACCCTTAAATAATAAATATTTTGGACACAAAGGCCCTCATATGTCAACTAAATAACAATTAGCGCAAATGTACGAAATGACTTCTTTAACCTCATATATTGATTTTTTGGACAAAAATACCTTCACTATTTACATAAAATAATACCAAAAATACCCCTAGTCTCAAGACAACTACTAGCCGTCAGCCACCACCGTCAACAGTTGTCAGAATGGTCCACGACCAACTGAACCAGTGTCAGAACGACGCACGACTGGTCGCATCTGGTTGACTGTGCGTCGATTGAGCCGTTTCTGATAAGATTGAAGCCCGAAAATGGCCAGATGGTCATGGATCTGATTGGAAATGATTAGATCCATTCTGGCCATTTTCGGCCAGATCCATGGCTGTAAACGGCCACAGATTTGGTCGTTAACGGCTAGAATAGATCTACCATTTTCGACCAGAATGGATTTGGCTTTTCGACGCAGCCGTCTAACCATTTTCGGCCTTCGATCTGGTCGAAAAGGGCCAGATTAGTGCCCGACCAATCAAATCTGGTCAGTCGTGCATCGTTCCGGTGACTATCGGTGGCGGCTAGGGTGGCTGGTGGCTGACAGTCGTCTTGGGTGGCTGGGTGTGTTTTGTTAAATTTTAAACTTTTGTTGTTGCCTTGTTGGGGTGTTTTAGCTAAATTCTCAAATATAGGAAGTTAAAAAAATGTTCTAAATAATAATGGCTGTGTTTGGTTCAAAATTTGGGGGTTTTGGGAAAAGTTTTTTGAAAAAAGTTAAAAAAAAGTTGAATTGGGCGGGTATTACGAGGTAAAATTTATAAATTAATAAAATCTCCTTTATGTTTGTTTTTTTACAAAATACCCCCTATAATAAAACATTAAAAGTTAACAAAAATACCCCTAACCCACCCTCAAACACCCCCAGCCGGCGACCACCACCGGAGGTGGCCGGAGTCGCCGTATGGGCGCATGACCGGTTGGATCTTGCCGGTCATGCGTCGCTATGGCCTTTTCCGAACAGATCCACGGTGGATTGGCCGGGAAAAGGCCAGATCTACGGTCAGATCTGGCCGTCAACGGCAGATCTGGCCGTATTTGCTCTCAACGACGGCCAACAAACGGTCGTCGTTGATGGTCACGAGACCGTTTGTTGGCCGTCGTGACCGAGTGTTACGGCCTTAGATCTGGCCGTCAACGGCCAGATCTTTGGCCTTAGATCTGGCCTTTTCCGGCCAGATCCACCGTGGATCTGGCCGTAAAAGGCTAGATGGCGCATGCCGAGATTCAGCCGGTAGTGCGCCATTCTACCAGATTCCGGCCATTTTCCGGTGGTGGTGGCCAGAATCTGGTAAATGTGGATTATTGGGGTGTTGTAATTTAAAAAAAAATATTTAGGGGTATTTAATTAAATTATCAATTTAAGGGGTTTAAAAAAAGTGAATATTTTGGGAGTAGTATTCCAAAAATCTAAATTTTTGGGTATTTTACTGTTTAACTTTTTTGGGAATACTAAAAGTAGTATTCCCAAATGTGAAACAAACGCAGCCAAATATATTTATTAAACAAGGAAGGATATTAAGTAAAAACCGCTTCAATAATATTCACCTCTCAACCAAAATATTAATTATTTATATCAACAGTCTAACCAAACATATTAGAATAACATTCCTCAATTAATCTTCAAGGTAATCTATTCAGTAGTAATCCTATATTTTCAGTTATAAAAAATTATCTGTAAGTCTTAAAGGATACTAGTTTATTTGGTTATCCAATAAGCGGTATTAATCCACAACAATAGTAATATCAACCATGCATAAAAAAAAAAAAAAAATATATATATATATATATATAATGGTTATTCAATAACCTTTAATTAATTATGATAATATAAAATAATTTAGTTAACCTTCTGGCTGAGAAAAAGGGTCTTCCATGTTATATTACTATTCGCCTTTGATTACATCTTTTGACCAGGAAGGTGCAAGCAAAGTTGATTCTGTTTACCTCTCCATTACCAGTAGGAAGATCATTCAATTTTATTGAACATGCACACTCACAGTAATGATAGAGGAAAAGAAAGAGAAAATGATTTCACAATCAGTGGTTCAGATTTTCAGCTGGTAGTGAAAACTTAAGAGATCGATTTGCAAAATTGAAGAGAAACACAAAATTGACCATCATCACGCCGTTGATCACAAGTCCTGAGTTGTTTAAATGTAGTGCTTCTTGAAATGACAAAACCCTGCTCTTTCGATGTAAAGTAGTCGAGACTTCAAACTCAAAATGGATGGTAAAACGAAGAATAAAAATAGGCTGACGAAATACTTTTCACAAACGCTGACATGACAGCTCACAATTGATCAACTCGTATTTGGACAAACGAGACCTATTATTGGGCAAGTGGAACTTGTTGCGAGCTAACATTTCGCGTTTGTGAGAGAAAGTTAGTGAAAAGAGTTTGTGAGTGCTTCATTAAACCATTATTTCTTACACAAATAATGGTTTAATGACACTTTCTTACATATAGACTTTTAAAATACCATTTTAATACCCAAATTTGTTGTGTTTGAAGATGAAGACTAACATTTTCCATCCAAATAATGGTTTAATGAAAAAATTTCATCCACCGACTTTTGAAATACCACTTTAATACCCAAATTTATGTTCCGTTCTTGATTCCAGCATCATTGCGACCCCACACCACCACTATTTTATTCCTTGATCATCACTCACCAAAACCCTTCAAACCTACTTCCACCGACCTTGCTAATCGTCGGCAATCAAGCGACTACAGTTTTCTCAACGGCCCCCCCCTCCCCCCCCAAGTCAAATTCCAATCAAAATCCAATCTTCCACCACCAAAAGACTCGTTGACTTCCTTTCTTCAAAAGCCCTAACAGTCTGGATCGAGTCTGCTCTCTGTTTGTTACCAGAATATATATAAATTTGGATAGTAAAGTGATATTTTAAAAGTTTGTGAGTAGGAAAATATCATTACACCATTATTTAGGAGAGAAAAATTCGTTAACTCTATATTCAATTACAAAATCAACTTAAATAAATGTTTAATTCATTGAATACATAATTTAGTAGTTTTTAATAAAGTTAATAAAAATTGAACTAATAGGAACTATTCCAATCATGGTATGAAAAATAATAGAGATACCGAAAATAGTGCACCGATTTTATACACCGAATGACGTGGCACAATCCTGACTGTCGATTAATTATAACTTAATATTAATCAACGGTCAGGATTTTGCTACGTCATTCAGTGTACTATTTCGGTGACTGTAGCATTACTCATCATGGTATGACATGTTTTTTTACGTATATTTTGTATAAAGACTTAGTATTACTAAATCTTATAGGGTGCGTTTGACTTATTATTTCTGCCCATATTCCTAATCCTATTCCCAAATAATGTTTGACACATTATTCTAGAAATATTACCCTTTTTTTAATTACTTTTAGACCCCCTATGGTTATTAATTTCATTAAATACCCCCTAAAAAAAGTTTAAAAATTAACAAAAACACCCCCGTGACCCATACTTGCCAGATTCCGGCAACCACCATCGGTGGTAGCCAGAATCTGCCACAAGGGTGAATTACCGACTGGAACTGGCCGGTAATTCACCGATTTGGCCGTTAGTGATGTCCAAAGAAATGGTCGTTGTTGATGGTCAACGACGGCCATATCTTTGGCCGTCGCTGACGGCCAAAGATGGCCTTCTTTGGCCTTTTCCGGCCATCGACACCACATATGGCAGTAGATCTGGCCTTTTTCGACCAGATCCGTGGTGGATCTGGCCAGAAAAGGCCATAGCGATGCCATATCGGCCAAATCCGGCCTGTATGTGTGGTTATGCAATTTTCTGGCCAGATTCTGACGGTAGTGGCCGGAATCTGGCACTGTAGGTGGTGGAAGTCTTTTTGTCATTTTACATATTTATATATATTGGGGTATTTATTAAATTAGCAAACTTATGAGAGTTTTTTTTTATAAATTTTTAAATTTTATCGCGTAATACTCCCATATTCAATTATCCAATACTATCCCCAAAATCTTATCCAAAATAATAAACCAAACTCACCTACAGAGATTTCTATTCTATGAAAGTGGAAGGAAATTTCCTTCTCCTTACCAGCTCGCAGTAGAATTAAAGCTCTTTTAATTTAGTCAACTGATATACTCACACTAACCACAGAGCGAACGAAAGATAGGTAGAGAAGAATGGTTCTTCAATTTCTGCTTGAGATTCTAATCTTGTTATCACTGCCAATAAAGTCTAATTGTACATCCACCCACGGAAATGATTCCATTTCGGAAAAATCATTTCCGAATAAATCGAATCAGTCTAGTTCCTACAACCAGTTTGATGCAGATCGCAGTTCTGATAAACCATTCATCAAGAGAACCAACTTGGAATTTTCAAGAGAGAGGGAGCAAAAGAACTTCAGTACTGGCTTCCACTCTTGTCAGGCCAAATTCCATCGGCCGCCTCAGCAGAGTTTTAAAGCATCTGGTCAAGAAGATGGAGACCAGCGATGCTCATACACTAGTAGTGTTGACAAGAATTACAATAATTATTCCAAGGAAACGGCGCGTCATAGCATGACAGCAGGTCAATTTCTCTCGTCAACTCAATATATTATTTTAAATCTTTTTTTTTTTTAATATATTTTAAGGTTGCATTCATTTATGATAAAAAACTAATTTTTGGTATTTGATTGATATGAAAAAAAAATGATTTTTATTTTCGCAATCATTTGAATAATGATTCTGTTAGATTTTCAAGATTTTTGTCTAGAATCATTTAAGATTGTAGAGTACTTAATCTATTTAATATTGAAAAATATTATAAACTACCATATAAAATATGTATAATATTAATCATATGTTTAATGCATCATTATATTGTATTAACTTACAATAATTTTAATTTTCAATCAATTTTTTTATTTTAAAAAAAGTTACTATTTTAATTTAGATATTTAATTAAAATTTTATAAATGAATTATTCAATAATAATACTTTACTAAAAGTTTTGTAAAACATTAATTTAAGCTCCGATGTATAACCTGAGACAAATAAAAAAAAAAAAACTCTTTGACAAGAAAATAATTCTACCTTGTAGATATTAGTTACTTCTTGTTCGTACCAACATTTTGTATTTTGTTAGCTGTTTCTATTGAAGGAGATGATTGTGAGGCGGTAAATATGAGTTAACGACTTTTTCTTACTCAAATAATGACTTTATAACATTTTCTCACATATATACTTTTAAAATACTATTTTACTATCCAAATTTATATTTCGACAACAAACAGAGAATAGACTCGATCTAGGCTGTTGGAACTTTTGAAAATGGGAGGTCAATGAGTCTTTTGGTCGTAGAAGGTTGGATTTTAGTGATTGAGATTTTTATGAGAATTTGACTTGGAATGAGCAACTGTGTAAACCCTAATCGCTCGATTTCTAGCAATTGGCGGGGTTGGCGAGAGTAGGGTTTGAGGAGTTTTGGTGAGTAATGATCGGATAAGAGAATTGTGGTGATGTGGGGTCGCAACGATGTCAAAATCAGAAACAAAATATAAATTTAGGTAGTAAAATGATATTTTGAAAGTCTGTGGGTGAGAAAGTGTTATTAAGCCATTATTTGGGTGGGAAAAAGTCATTTACTTTTGTACATATTTCCAATAGTTTAAAATCACTCCATTTCAGTGGGTTGTTCTATATTTTGCTCATTATGGTTATGGGTGCCCTTTTACCCATTTTCAGAAGAAAAAAATAAAATAAAATTGGCCTTGATTATTAAGAAAATCTTTATTGACATTACAAATTTTTAAATTGAATTTTGTAGTTGTTGCATGCGTTGGAATTGTGATTCTGCTTGTTGCATGGAGGTGGCTACACAAAATAATAAAGAAGAGAAAGGACAGTAAGGTGAACACAAGTTTCTTTGAACAAAATGGTGGCTTACTATTAAAGCAATTGTTAAATTCTTGTGATGCCAACGTTGATGGAGCATTCAAGCTCTTCACTTCAATGGAGATAGACAAGGCCACAGACCATTTTAATGTGAAAAGAATTATTGGTCAAGGAGGTCAAGGTACTGTTTACAAAGGAATGTTAGTAGATGGAAGGATTATTGCAGTAAAGAAGTCGAATGTGATTGATGAAGGGAAAATTGAAGAGTTCATTAATGAGGTTGTTATTTTGGCTCAAATTAACCATAGAAATGTGGTTAAGCTGTTAGGGTGTTGTTTAGAGACTGAAGTTCCTTTACTGGTTTATGAATTCATCCCCAATGGAACCCTTTCTCAGTATCTTCATGATCAAAATGAAGAGTTTCTGCTTAATTGGGATACACGTTTACGAATTGCAGTACAAGTTTCAAGTGCTCTTTCTTATATGCATTCAGGTGCTTCCTTTTCCATATTCCATCGCGACATTAAGTCTACAAATATACTCTTGGATAATAATTACACAGCAAAAGTAGCTGACTTTGGGGCATCAAGATCAATAGCCATCAATAAAACACATTGGAGCACAATAGTATTAGGGACTTTAGGATACTTGGACCCAGAATACTTTCAATCGAGCCGATTGACCAATAAAAGTGATGTTTATAGTTTTGGAGTAGTCCTTGTAGAGCTTTTAACAGGGGAAAAACCAATTTGTGTAGGAACGTCACAAGAAAATATAAGTTTGGCAGCTTATTTCGTTCGTTGTATGAAGGAGAAATGTTTGTTTGATATTCTTGATGCTCAAGTGAAGCAACATGGAAAGAAGGATGAGATTATGGTATTTGCTAACCTTGCTAAAAGATGCTTAAGCCAAAATGGCAAGGAAAGACCTACAATGAAAGAAATTGTAATAGAGTTGGAGGGGATTCAGTTATCGAAAAAGAAGAAAGTGCCATTCAGATCAGCAGTTTTAACGAGGTTCAGCAAAGGGAGGTCGATGAAGTCATGAAGGTTTCTAATTTATTTGCGTTCTTCTTTCAACAATGTTGCTTTTCCTGTTAATTACAAAATTCAGATTATACTTTCAAGCATAGCCTAAGATGTTTTTTGCACATTCAATATGGTTAATATTATAATTTTGTGAATAACCTAAAAACAGAATTGGAGAAGAACTCTTAGCTTGTTCTTGCTAAAATTTGTTGTGTTTGAAGATGAAAACTAACATTTTAAGGATTGATTGGGTAAACACTAGCTAAATTAGGGTTAAACTTCAACATGTTTTTTATTTTTTTTAGGACTTATCCTGGGGACCCATTGAACACCCTATAAACCCAAGAAATCAAGTAAGTCACAAATATGCATTGTTTTAAAACCCAAACCGACTCAACCAGTTTAATTAGGACCTGGGAGCTTCACCAGGCTGGGTTAACATTTTTCCTATTCACCAAAAACCTTAGAATTTGATGACCAATAAACAATTGAAGATCGAGATGTTGGGGCTTTTGAAGAGAAAGTGTCGGTCAGTGAAATGATGACGATAAAGTTGATTTCTGGTGAGTGAATCAATTGAAAATTGAAAAAAATTGGCAGTGGCAACAGCGGACTTTTGCTGGCGATTGGCGAGGCTAACGAGGGTGGGGTGAGGTGGGTTTTGGTCAGGAGGAAGAGGGGAGTATCTTCGGGGTGATGGGGAGGGTTGTTGACATTGGCGTCAGTGAGATTTGGCTTGGAATACTGATGTCGTCGTTAGTGGGATTCGATTTCGGCTAGATCTTGGGTAGATTTTCTAAGGAATGGGCTCAGGGGACGATTGGGATTGCATTTGAGGTGTCGCCACTGCTAACCAGTCGTAGGGCGATATGTATTTGGGATGTGTTTACTAAATTTCAAACCTATAAGACTTAACTTGATTTTTAGGGGTGTATTTGCTAAATTTTAAAAGTTTTGTCACTCGGTTTGACCAGTTGGTCAAACATGTTAAACCGATCAACCAGGGACCTTGCAACTATGTCGAATTTCACCCCAGGTTGGGTTTTAAAACATTGCAAATATGGTCGGTGGTCACTGTAGGGACTTGAATACAATACCTCTCGATAACCTACCCAGATAGCTAAAGTCTTGCGATCTGGCCACAAACCCAATGGTTAACTTCAACATGTCTGTCAACTTAATTTCGAAAATTCTAGGGCTTAAGCTGCTAAATTAATTACTTAAGATCCATGAGTTCTTAAGAATTCATGGCATGTAATAATGATGTATTGATGTGTTTTGGTGGTTGACATTTACTTTGTTTTATTTATTTACTTTCAATTGCAATCTTGGATTTTCTTTTCTATGTAAAACTAATATCAAGGAAAATCTAGTCTAGAAAGAAATGGTAGTTCTTTGAACGTAATTTCTTGCACAATAAAGATTGGCTCACAACCCAATTTTACAAACTTTCTCTCACAACCCCGACGTGGTAGCTCGCAATTGTTCAGTTCACAATCGGGCAAGTAAGACCCATTGCGAGTTGTTGTTAGTAAATCAATGAGCAGAGGCAGCGAAAAAAAAAAAATTATTGCTCATCGATTACTCTGATTTAGCCAAGATCAGGGTCTATATATATATATATATATATATATATATATACATGCTTAAATTGAAATAACAAAGATCCATGCAATGATTAGATTACACTAGTGTGTGGAGGCTTCGTCAGTATCTCTGAACGTGAGTGAAATCGAACTCACGTTGTCCACACGAAGACAGTACGTTAGAGACCAAGAATTAACTTTGCTAGAGTTAATTCTTGGCTTTAAGGAGTATGGTATTTGAAAGGATAAAGTGAGGAGAACAAGAGAGAAAAGCACTGTAACACCCCACTTGAGGTACGCACTTAAGATTTGCTATATTACTTAAAGGATTCACTGTTTCAGCTTCAATTGAGTTTGTATGTTGTTGTGGTTAGTTGGTTAGCCTTTAATTAAAATGGTATGTTGTATTGGTTAAGTGTTTGCCTTGGTTTGGTTGAAATTTGGTGAAGTTTGGAAATTCGAGCTTCGCCGGGGCGAAGAAGAACCTTCTCCGCGGCGATGAGGAGCTGCACCCACGGGTAGGCTCTGCTGTGTTTCGCCGGGGCGACATATTGTTCTTCGCTGCGGTGAAGAGCCTAAAAAAAAGTTTCTTGAGTTTTCTAGAGAATTCTTCCTTTGGGGCACAATGACCTTTCTACCCCTAATTAGCAGGAAAAGTGGGGAGTAAAATGTAAGGAAATTTAGTAGACATTGTGTTTGGATGGGGGTGTATTGGTAAAGAATCAAAGGATATAGATGGAATTTCTAAGGAAGGGCAAGGGCAAAATGGGAAATGATGATTATAATATGAGCTAAAAAGGGTTAAGTGTAGAGAAACCCATTAATTCATCCATTTCCACCGCCTCTTCCATTCTCTAATTTCTCTCAATTTCTCCATCCAATCTTCCAAGATTTCTAAGGAGTTTAGAGAGCTTTTGGGAAATTTTTGGTAGAGATTTCATCTAAAGCATCCTAAGGTAAGGATTCTTGCTTTAGATATAGATTTGCTTGTCTTTGTATCTTGAAGCCTCATGGTTTTATGGTTTAAAGGTGTAGAGAAGGGACAAGGTACTAAGGAGAAGTATTAGTAGAACCTCTCCATTAAAGGTAAGTAAATCCAAATTAAATTGAAATTTAAGAATTCATTTGAGTAGAGATTGTATATGTATGTATTATGCTGGTTGAGAGATTGAGATGTTATGAGTATTTATCTATGTTGATATTGAATATAATTGAGTTATGAGAAGTGTTGTGATTGCATGATGATGAGTTGAGTTTGATTGAAGTTGGAAGGAGTTTTGAGCAAACCCTATGGGAGTGTTTTTCCTTGACATGAATTTAGACTGTATAAGGGAGTTTTCCTCCCATTTTGGGATGGTTAAAGAGAAGAGTAGAGTTATAGATAATTAGAGCTTTGGTATGCACAAGAGTTGTTTGATGAAATGCCTAAGTGGAATCTGCTCTGTCACAGCTATGACTTTCTAAGTGATTTTTGGGCATCTTACGGATTGAACTAGACTGAGACCAAAACATAAAAATTATAGCCCTATCTCTAAGCTTTAGAACGAGACCAAACCGTAGCAATCCGATGTGTGTAACTCAAGTTATGCCCTTTTTAGTGTAACCTGTGCAAAATGATTGTTTTGATGCAATCTTGTATTTGGCATTTCATAAGTGCATTAGTGAGCATGAGCTATCTATACGCTTATTTTTTTTATGCACTTAAGAAGTAGCTTGAGACATAGTAGAGAATTTGAGTATAAGCTATTTAAGAGCTAAGAGAAAGAGAATAGAGTAGGTTGTGCGATAGAGAACCCGTGAGTAATGGGTAGAGTATTCCCGCATGTACGCCGCATTGAGAGAGCGGCATGAGTATGAGAAAGAGAAGTGGTGTAGCTCGTGAGAGTGCATGCGGATGAGGGCTATACCCAAGTACCCGAGAGAGAGATTATACACTCACATGGCCAAGGGTTCCGAATCCATGCATAACTGAGTCCGATCGGCTAGAACGAGTAGAGGTCACGTAGAGCGGGAGCGAATCCCGGCAGTGCCCCTGGTAAGATGGGGCCGTGACTTACTAAAGAGAGTTAATAGAAAAGAGTTCTAAGAAAGAGAAAGAGAGAGAGAGAAGTACCAAAGAGAAATTGAATGAGAAGTTGTAAGGAAAGATTTAGAGTGAGAGTTACGGGATTAGACGGATAGATGATTTACTTACTGAGCATTGTTTTCGTGCTCACCCCGTTATTTCCTATGTTTGCAGGATCCAGGTGAGGACGCGGTCGGATGGACGTCGACACGCGAGGGGAGGCGGTTACACTGTCCACCATGTTTTTGACGACTTTTGTACATATTATAATTTTGTGTAAAAATATATATGGTTGTAAAGCATATATATATATATGTTTAATAAAAAGAAACTTTTGGGCCCAATTTTCTTATGCTATTTTATATGTATTTTCTTATATAAATCATATGAGTATTTGAGTAAAAAGTGGCTGTTACAAACACTCACCCACGGCTCAAATGACTTATACGAATAAAATCTAAATTTGTTTTCTTTAAATAATGAAACAAATTTCCATTCCACCTCCAAATTTTAGCAACAACTCAAACTTAGGTGGAATCACATATAGGTCCCTATTAATTATTTAGTTAAATATAAATATAAATATTAACTTCAATAATTAAATTTGTAATTTTGCTAAATTATTCCAATAATAAAATTGGACACAACTACAACCTCAGTAAATTTAATTACATAGCAAAATTACCAATATGCCTATTCGTCCAAAAGACGAATATGCCCTTCAAAAATTTACCATCCTTAAACTGTCTTTTAAGTGTGTGACTCGTAGGCTCTTCATTATATCGACAGTGAGTAGTATCACGATTGACACTAATCAATCGTCTCACTATACACATACCAAGATTGACCGCTAGCAAGACATCATGCCCACTCGATATATTCGGATTCAGTGAAACAACTACCTATCAACGATATAGTTATTATGCAATTAAATCATTTCATCATCTGTTATCTTATCGAGGTTGAGGTACAAAAATAGTGTTAACCTCAGTTATTCTCGATGCGTTTGTATTCAGTTACTGGATCAATGATCGGAACAATAAATTGGATTGGGTAATAACTCAATCCCACTGTGGCCACAACTTTAGTGTCATTGCTATACACTGAATCGCGCCATGAGATAACTTCTTCCGTACTTGGAAGTGATGAATCATTTATCGATCCACCATAGTCTTGATGCACTCATCGATGCAGCCAATCACTATCGCATTGATAACTTTAAATAGAACTACGTTAGGCTAGTGTCAAAATACGCCAATCGGTGCACAAAGCGCTCCAGTGATCTCAAGTCTAAGGATCATATGCACTACCATTCGTTAGAGGATTTATTTCATAGACACTAGGGTTACCATCTATATGGAATCCTCTGGTGGGTTAGTCTAGTGAACTTGCTTGTAGCAAGCACCCATGTATTGCACCAGGTTGTC